ATTTATAAGGGTTGCAGAAATACCATCCATCTGTGTAAGGAAACGGATATAAAGTTTTTTACTTTCCCCAAATCCCTTACATGCGGCAAAAATGGATTGAGGTTTGCGGGATCAACAAAGAGGACTTACCCAACCGTCCATTCGTATGTTCGATACATTTTTTCAAAAAGGACCTTTTGTACCCCAATCAAAAAGTCATGCTTTCTAAAAGTGCTGTCCCAAAGTAAATATATTCCTTGATTAGTGTATAAAAGTGACAATGTTTTCTTGTTAGTACGCTTGTGCAATACGCCATGCAGTCGCATATAGAAGTGGCATCTGGAGGGGAAGAAGCATCCACGGGTAGTCAAGATACGATTGCTACACAAACAGAGTTTGTATCATAAAACTAATATTATAAGTTGTCAATATCTCTCAAATTTCATACCACTCTTAATAGCGATTACATTGACCATTACTTTATGGAAAATATTGAATTAAAAAAAGTAATTCAGCGGCTCTGCGAAGAAAATGCTGCCTTAAAGTTCAAATTAGAGCTTCAGCAATCGAGGCCTTCATGTTTTACAGAAACCCAGCAAAAGATCATGCAGGAAGCTATCATTTCGCCTCGATACAATATAAATGATATATCTTCGGCGATTTGTATTTATGCGGCTGGTCCTCGTTGTTACAAACTCTTGCGCAAGAAGGGCTACCCATTACCTTCTCGAACTACATTAAGAAGGTGGTCAGCAAAATTTGATGTGGAACCTGGCATCCAAAAGGAAACGCTAAGACATATGAGTGGTGTAGATTTAGAGTTTGAAGACAAAATATGCGTCTTGTCGTTCGATGAGATGAAGGTTCGCGAGGAGTGGTGTTTTGATAGGAAAACCGATATAATAATTGCACCAAAGAGGCAGGTGCAGGTTGCAATGGTACGTGGCCTTCGTCGGCATTGGAAGCAGCCTGTCTACTATGATTTCGACTCAAAAATGACACAGGCCTGCATGAGAGAAATCATCTCAAAACTGTATGCAATCGGGTTTACTGTTGTTGCAGTCGTCAGCGACCTTGGGGCCGAAAACCAGTATGTTTGGAGAACCATGGGGATCGGACAGGATGTGTGTTTTTTTACTCATCCATCGGATGAGACTAAAAAAATTTTCGTTTTTTCCGACCCACCCCATTTAATTAAATTATTGCGAAACCACTTTGTTGATGATGGCGTTATTTATAAGAACACGTTCCTAAGCAAATATATTGTACAAGAACTACTATCTCTTTGCGATTCTGACCTCACGATAACAAAAACCTTGACTTTAGAGATGCTGAATGTGAAAGGGGCAGGTAAATAAATGTATAAGCGTATCTGCCTCATACATAAAAGTTCATGTGTATGTATGTATGCCTTTAAATCCGAGTTTTAAATTCTAATTTTCCAGAGCGACAAAAGGTGCGTTATGCAACTAAACTGTTTTCACATACATGTGCCAGCGCTCTAATAAGAACAGCCCAACATGGGTTGTGTAGAGATGTTGACGACTTTTTGAAGTGCGCGGAGCTATTTCAAATAATAAATGATTGGTTTGATGTATTCAACATAAGCTGTATACAACATGACTCGCGACCGCTGTGCACGGCATTTGGCCTTTGTATGTCCGAGCAAATGCGTCCAATCGAACGAACCAAAGTTACTAAATTTACGCCCCAACCGAGCGTTGCTGCCATTCCAAAGGGGTATTTTGCAAAACAATAAGGCCGTGCCCGCTTTTTACGGATATCTCAAGGAGCAGTACGATATGAAATTTTTGTTAACGGCAAAATTGAATCAGGACTGCCTGGAAAATTTTTTTAGCGCTATAAGGACTAAAGGGGGTCTCCATGATCATCCTTCTCCGTTGGAATTCAAATACAGACTCCGATCGTATATATTAGGTAAGCCTTGTTCGGATCTATAAAAGGTAACTACAAATGCAATTAAATACTTACGTACATACATTTGTATGTCTATAATAGGCCGCAATGAACATACACTGAGCGCTTATGCAAATGTTAAATCAACTTAAGATCAAGTTCTCACCAGCATCGAACTCGATGAAGCTTTTTTGACTCAAGGATTGTACAAGGATATTTTAGAAAATTTTGAAAATACTCCTGAGGAACTCGCAGAGGTATATAAGGAAGCAAACTAATTTATATCATATAATTACTTATTTAAAATATAGATTTCTGAGGAACAGGATGCGTTAGAGGTAGAAACCACTGTATCGACATTAAAAGACGTCGAATACGATGGTCTAGAAAACTTTGGTGGATACCTCATATCAAAACTAAAGCTTTCGAACTTTGGTGAAAGGACCGGCAAAGAACAGCAAACGAATTTCACTTTTGTTAACCAATTGTCCGAAGGTGATCTGTATAAGCCAACCAGTAGTTTTATGACAATATTAGAAAACCTAAATGGAGTTTTTGTTAAACATAATAGTAATACCTTAAACACTAATCCAGGTTATTTAAAAACATTGTTAAATCTTTCAAAACATATCCAAATTGATGATGATGTAAAAAAGAGATTCTTTGTTGGAAGGACATTTTTTAAAATCAGGTACCTCAAGAAGCCTGAAAATCGAGAAAAATTTATTATAAAAATGAAGAAAATCATGACATAAAATTTCTAAGCCAATTGTTTTATTTCCCAAAAGGATTCTATTATTCACTTTATTTATGCAGATACACACAAACATTTGCAAATTTGAAAATACATAAGTGCATATATGTGAAGATGTTACCAAAGAATTAGAGGGTACTTGAATATAAGCGCACTGAAACTCTACTAAAGCAATCCACTGGTTTTATTTGGGACAGGTTAGATTCCTTGCAACGGTGAATATTGGAGCATCCATTCTTTGGAGTAACGATGTCACGAAAGAATTCGGCGGTACTTTCGCTCAACATTAAATTATGTGCACAAATAAACATATATACATACCAGTTCACATGTAATTAAAATGATAGAACTGAGATCTGAGTATTATCGTGTTTTTATCTAAATTTTTCACGCTTGAAAAGTTGTTTTTTTCATAAGAATATTTTTGATTTATGATTTGTTTGAATGGAAAAACAAAACCAAAATAAACAATGGAAATGAGAGCGGCAGACTAAATGGTTTACAAACGTCAAAAATGATAAAAGTGCCTCTCAGCGGTTCTACCTTACTATAGTTGTATCATGGTTTTGTTTACATACATATCTGTAGATAAAATACCTACCACTTTTTCTACTTCCCAGAAAATATATTATAAAAATCTTTGATGT